ATAATAATAATAATAATAATAATAATAATAATAATAATAATAATAATAATAATAATAATAATAATAATTAATAATAATAATAATAATAATAATAATAATAATAATAATAATAATAATAATAATAATAATAATAATAATAATAATAATAATAATAATAATAATAATAATAATAATAATAATAATAATAATAATAATAATAATAATAATAATAATAATAATAATAATAATAATAATAATAATAATAATAATAATAATAATAATAATAATAATAATAATAATAATAATAATAATAGTGATGAATTAATTTGATACCAAATTTTATAAATTTTTATGGAAATTAAGAAAATAGGGGTGAAATTTTAGTTGGATATACTATTGTGGGATATGTATTTTAGTATAGCAATAATTGTATTTGCTTGTGTAAATATAATTCAAAGAACATTTGTAATAATTCCAACAATTTTAAACGGAAAATTCTTTGCGTAAAGAAATTTCACGCCTGAAAACGTCTGATTAAATGAAATTTTCCCGTGAAGACAAGTTTTTGTACTATCTGATATTTGTGGTTGGAACAAAAATTTCTTTCCACTATTGATTTGGCACTTTCTTTTTTTTTTCTTGAGAATATTTATCTTTTTCCAATTCATGATTTTCACAAAAAAAAATTCTTAAATCAACATTATGTATCAGCGATTCAATCGATATTGATCAATTCGAGAAGTTATAAATCATGAAATTACTATTATTACTGGAATAAAAATAATTCAAACGATTGAATTGCAATTGAATGAGTTATGAGATAATCAAAGATGATGATGACAGCTTTTTTTTTTTTAAATTTCCTTCTGTAAATTCGAACTTCAAATAAGCTAACTTTAAGGAAAAACAAAAACTATGATAATAAATTAATATTATTGGTGAAAAAAGAACCTTAATTTAAATATAAAATTTGAAATAATTTTGGAGAAATAATTATTTTAACTAATTAAGAAAAATTTCCTTAAATAATTCATTATTTAATCGAATATCAAAGTTATGCCATTATACATTTATACTAGAAATGCAAAAAGAGTTAGTATAATTCATTTCAAATTTTTAGTACGTGTACATTTGGCTCCGTGAACAAGCGGTAGAACATGAATCATGCAATGATGGTGCTATATATTCACGTATTGCTAGGCTTTGTCGATCAGATCATGGTGGCCCAAGGCCTTATTCAAATGAATGGACATCATTTGTAAAAGCTCGATTAAATTGTTCCATACCAGGCCATTATCCGTTTTACTTTGATCAAGTTAGTAGTAATATGAGAAGAAATAAATTTAAAAAGTTTTGGAAGTTTTTTTCTTTTTTTTTCTAATACTTTATCATTTATTATTTTATTTTATTGAATTCTCTATGTAAATTTTGAGTAAAATTAAATATTTTTGTACAAATTTACTCAAATTGAATAATTTAATTATCTTAAAATTACAAAATATTAATGGACAGATACTTATTATTGCTTAATGATTGTATGAAATAAGCTTAATTTCAGATAGAAGCTATTGCACCACCAGTAAATAGTCTTCACTTATCAGAAATGAAACAATTAGTCTATGCGGTATTTCGTAGTCCATTAGCTGGTATCTCCTCATCAGCTATTTGTGCTTTTGATATTCAACAAATTAACGATGTTTTCTCGGAATCAAAATATGGTGATCGGAATAATTTACAATCACTATGGATGAATGCAGTTTATAGTGGTACTTCAAAATATCGACCTGGTAGCTTAATCTTACCAAACGATATTTATGTTATATGCTTAAGTTTGAAATTTACAATTTAAAATTAAGTTAAGTTAGATATTTCATAAGTCAGGATTGGATCAAGTTGAAAATTTTACAATTAAAACTATGAGTATGGGTTAAGTTAGAAATTTTACAACCTAAGATTAAATCAAGTTAGAAATTTTATAATTTGAAATTAGGTCAATTTGGAGGTTTTGTAATTTAAATTTAGGTCAATTTAGCAACTTCGATTAACTCTAGAATGGTATAAAAAAAAATACCTGATTGATTTGAAATTTAAATTTTGCAAACTTCGAAATTCTCAAAGTTCTTTTGTCATTTTTTGTTCATACATTGGAAAATTTTTATTTCAGGTAAATGCACAAACAATTCTCGTTTGTTACCCGAAAAAGCGGTAGCATTTGCCCGAGCTAATCCATTAATGAATGAAGCTATACCGAATTATTTTGGTGCACCAATTGCGATACATACGGGTTTGGATCATTTTACACAGATTGTCATTGATGCTCAGGTATGATTTATCAATCAATCAATCAATCGATAAATTAATCTGATCAATCCATCTATCTATATTCAACTAAATTTAGCTAAAAACAAATGCAAAATTTTCATTTGGAAAATTATGAAATTTCATTAATTACAGGTGAAAGCAGTTGATGGACATTTGTATGATGTTATATTTATTGGTACCGATCAAGGTAATATTTTCAAAATGGTGAATTTAGCTGGTACCACAGCCACCACAAAGCAACCATCTCATCATATTTACACATTTCAAATTACTAATGTAAGTTTCCAGTTAAAAATTATACACAAAAGGTATAAATGGAATATATTATACAAAAAAAAATGCTATTATGAGATCAAAAAAAAAAATTTCCAGTAATTTCTACAATTGAAATTGAAATTTCTGAAGAAATATAAAATAAAAATTGTTGATAAATTCTGTGAAATTTAAAAATTAATACTAATTGAAAAGCTATGTTAATTTCAAAAAAAAATTTGTTAATAAATAATTTGAACATATAATAGTAGCATAAATTAATCTTACAAATACTGAAGTAAAATAGCATTAAAAAAAGGATATATATCAGTACTGAATTAATTATTACTCTTTTACAGGAACCAATTCGAAATATGATGTTATATCAAGGAAATACAAATGATTTATCCATAGAACGATATCTTATAGCTGTTAGTGAACGATCCGTTTCACGTGTTCCTCTTGCGCAATGTAATCGTTTTGATACGTGTAGCGCTTGTGTCGCCTTACGTGATCCACATTGCGCATGGGATTTAGAAGCTAAGAAATGTATACTGCTAAATGATGATATAAATGGGTATGTTTTAATGATTTTTATATAATTCATCACATATGGGTATTTATTTTTGTCAATACAATCAAGAAAGGATTATTCTTAAGTTTATTGTAAAAGGTGAAAGGTCATAATATTCTACCTGTTACATGTAGACTGTGAAAGAACAAAGATTATATAGCTTTATAAGAATGAATATTCGAAATATACTATTACTAAAAGTCAATTATACCATTATCATCGTTATAAAGTTCGATCAACAATGGTTAACGAATGTAATTTTGCACTTATAATTAATTCAAAATATTATATCAAAGGTTAAAGATCATAACATATTAATATAAAATGTAAAAATTTCTGAATAAAATTATTTCTGCACGCGAAGACTTTTAATTTTAATAATTTTTTTTTGAATTATTTTGAATATTTGATAATCTTTCAAAAAGGTACCATTTAAAATGAATTCAACATTATTACAGGATATATGAACAAGAAATTATAACAGGACAAGCAAATGGTTGTGGTACTTTTACTGAACTTCAACATTTCTTCAACTTTGATATTATACCATCAATCATTGTTGAAAATGAAGAACCTTTACAAGGTTATTATTGAAATCGTTTATCATTTTAAAAACATGCGTCTTCTGTAAGCAAATTCTCTAATTAATTAATTAATTAACCTGCAAAAAATGAAAGTATTCGTGTTTTTGCATAGTTAATTAATCATAATCTTTTAATATTGTAATACTGCCAGGATTAAATTAATAAATTTTTGGCTACGATAAGATTAAAATAAGATTAAATAACAGATTGATTTATTTATTGTTTTAACGGAAAAACTTCCGCATGCAATAATTTGAAAGCACTAAATTACTGTATTAAATTATTGTATTATTAATAGGAAATTTATTGATAAATTACTAAACTACTGTATTACTGTTAAATTATGGTATTACTGATAGGAAATTCATTGTTTTCAGATGTATCATATACTCTTCCATCATCGAATTTACCAACAATGAATAAAAATTGTTCATGTGAAGAGAGAACATTAATTCCGGCTTGTGCTTCCAGTAGTAATTTAGCTTCATTCCGTATTACAGCCGGTTATTTTTTCTTTCTTTTGTAAATTAATTTTAAATTTAAATTTATTTGGAGTAAATAAGACTTCCAAAAATTTGTTTTTTTTTTGCAAAACAAAAAAAAAGCATAAATAAATAAAAATTTTTAATTTTTTCCTTAACATCAATTATCAAACAATTATGATAATAAATCCTTTTTTTTTCTGTAAAATGTTAAAAAATTTATGAAAATTGTAAATTCTAACAATTAATGCGAAATTTATGAAAATTTTTTGTATTTTAGTAAACTTTTATGAATGTTTCAAACTTTTTTCCTATTGTAAATTATCCGAAAATTTATGAAAATTATAAATTGTAAATTGAAATTTAATTTTTTACTTAAAAAATATTCGGTTTAATTACGAAAAAGAAAGAAAAAAATTTGTATAATTTTCAGAATCAACAACACATTCTTTTATTGAGCATAGCTTTTTTATACCAATACTTTGTGCTTCCATTGCAACATTAGCAATATTTGTTGGTTTTTTGTTGGAAATTTATATTTTCATTGGAAATTATCAAATAAAGGAAAGTCTTCGTCATGTCCATCATTTAGTACCACTACTCCTCAACCTGTTTATGGTACCAGGTAATTTGATTTAATTTATACCCATTTTCATTAGAACATTATCAAATGAATTATTGGAATTTAAATTCTTTAAAATTTTTTTATATTCTCAAATTAAATTTGTATTATACATCTGGAATAAAAGGAGGAAGAACCAATTGAGAATGGATGTATTTAAAAGAATTTGATTACTGAAATTACAATAATAATCAAATGATTTATATCATCATCCAAATTTCATTATTGGATTTAAATCTGAATTTCAAATAATTTATATTTGAATTGTTATTATAATCAATCATAATATCTAATAATCAATCATGATAATAATATCACTCCATGTTCAACAAAAAAAAAAGTGTTTTTAATATGCAAATTTTAGATTATCATCACCATCGTTAAGTATTATCAATGCATATGAATCAATATCAAAATTTAGCGGAGCTATACCACTACGATCTGATTCACCCATATCACTTGTGGTTTGTTATCATTTTTAATTTTATTATATTCGATAAGATATAATTTCAAACATTTTTGCTCAAATAAAGAGATTTTTCTCACAATTATTAATTATTTCAAATCATTTATACCTCATTAAATTTCGATTTCAATTAAATTTACAATGAAATAATTTGAAATTTATTAAATTGATAGGATTAAATTAAAAGAAGAACTGTAGAATTTCAGTTTAGAAAAAAAAAAAAAAAAGCAATGAATATCATATCCATTATTTTATAGGTGGAAGACTTGTCACATTCATCATCATTTGTGGACAAATTAAAGCAACCGAAAAATCATCCGCCCAATCAAATTTATTTGTAGGAAACTTCAATCATTTCATTTTATTTGAAATATACTTTCAAATCAATTTGCGGGTCTTTTGTATAACATTAACGCATCTTTTTAATAAGTTCATTATTGAAAATTCAATGAAAATTTGTTTGTGATCATAAAATATGAGAAAAATAAGGAAAAAAAGATGAAAAATTGGAAAAATTAGTTCAATCTGCCAATTTAAAGTAATGTTAGATTATTCATTTTTTAATCTTCAGCGATGTTCATTAGTCGTTAATTAATTGATTAGGAAAAAAAGATGACATATATATATATATATAGAAGCATATATATATATATATAT